CCATGGAAGAGTGCTGCTTACTGGCTTGCTCCTCATGGCTTGCTCAGTCTGCATTTTTGTACACCCCCAAGACTACCTTGGTGGCATTCCAAGGACAAATATGTATGAACAGCCAGGTAACTTTTGACAAGGCTGCTGGGGCCAATCAGTGACAAGAGGACAGTTTTCAACAAGCCGTTGGAAAATTGGGTCTCCACAGAATTTCTCCACAGAAGGGTGGAGCTGGACCCTGCTTCACACGGGCTACAAAATTATTTCAAATGCATAAAAAACCTAAATGTGAGACCTGAATATAAAAAACCCTCAGGAGAAAACATAAGGGTAGAGTCTTTTTTTTCCTCTTTTCTCTTTTTCCCCTCTGAGACAGGCTTTCTCTGTAGCTTTGGAGCCTGTCCTGAGACTCACTCTTTAGACCAGGCTGGCCTCAAACTCAGAGATCCACCTACTTCTGCCTCCCAAGTGCTGGAATTAAAGGTGTGCACCACCACCACCCAGTTAAGGGCAGAGTCTTAGCTGGGTGTGTCAATAATGTCTCAGATATGATGCCACATGCTTGGGAAACAAAAGAGAAAAATGGATAAACTGGACATCAAACTTAAAAACTGTACATAAAAAGACATTCTCAAGAGAATCAAAAGATAATTCATAGTGGGGTATAGTGGTACACACCTGTACTCACAGAATTCAGGGAGCTGAGGCAGGAGGATTGCCATGAGTTTAAGGCCAGCCTGGGTTAATTACAACAACTCAGGCTCACAAAAAAAGGAAGGAAGGAAGGAAGGAAGGAGGGAGGGAGGGAAGGAAGGAAGGAAGGAAGGAAGGAAGGAAGGAAGGAAGGAAGGAAGGAAGGAAGGAAGAAGGAAGAAGGAAGGAAGGAAGGAAGNGAAGGAAGGAAGGAAGGAAGGAAGGAAGGAAGGAAGGAAGGAAGGAAGGAAGGAAGGAAGAAGGAAGAAGGAAGGAAGGAAGGAAGGAAGGAAGGAAGGAAGGAAGGAAGGAAGAAAAGAGGGAAGAAAGAAGACAACATAGTACATAGACAGAAGAAGTTTATCTGATAAGGGACAAGCACCCAGAGTACAGAGAACTCCAACAAAACTAAAAAAAGCAAACAAACAAACAAACAAATTGACGCAGACATCTCTCAGATGCCCCAATGGTCAATACTGGCATTAGGAGACCCTCGGTACCACTCATCACTCAGAACATGCACGTCTCAGTCACATAATGAGACAGCTGCTGTTCAGAAAGTAACAAGTGTCGGTGAAGAAACTAGAACACTTTGTCGAGTGCAACGAGAAGACAGCATTTTCGAAACAGTAAGATTGCTCTTTAAAACCTGAAATAGAGCTGCCATATGTGCTGGCGAGTTTTATATCAACTTGACTGATGCAAACTGAAGCCATTTGAGAGGAGGGAAACTCAACTGAGAAAATGCTTCCATAAGATCTGGATGTAATCAAGTCTGTAGGGCAGTTTTTTAATTAGTGATTGATTGGGGGAGGGCCTAGCCTATTGTGTGTGGTGCCATCCCTGGGCTGGTGGTCCTGGGTTCTATAAGAAAGCAGACTGAGCAAGCCATGATAAGCAAGCCAGTAAGTAGCACCCCTCCGTGGACTCTGTATCAGCTCCTGCATCCCGGTTCTTTCCTGTTTGAGTTCCTGTCCTGACTTCCTTCAATGATGCTCATAGATATGGAAGTGTAAGCCAAATAAACCTGTTCCTCCCCAACTTGCTTTCTGGTAATCGTGTTTCAGTATAGCGATAGAAACCCTAACTAAAACACTATATGACCCAAAAATTCCACTTCTGGGTATACAACCCCCAAAAGTGAAAATCAGGACTCAAAAGATATTTGCACACCCATCGTTCACAGTGATTAAGATAGAAAGGTAACTGATGTCTCCCTGTGATTGAATTAGTGAGCCAAATATGATTTATAGGCACACAGAACATTGTTTGGTCTAAGAAGAGAAGAAATGGAGCTGGAGAGATGGCTCAGTGGTTAAGAGCACCGCCTGCTCTTCCAGAGGTCTTGAGTTCAATTCCCAGTAACCACATGGTGGCTCACAACCATCTCTAATGAAATCTGGTGCCCTCTTCTGGCCTGCAGGCATACATGCATACAGAATATTGCATACATAATAAATATTTTTTAAAACAAGAGAAGAAATTATCTATACCACAGCATGGGCAGGCTTCTATTCACCAAGAACAACAGACTGTCCCAAAGGCAACCCTGCACAGTTCCATCCATCTAAAGGACTTGGAGTAGTCAGATCCAGACCAAGGAAAATATGGGTGCCAGTCACTAGAAGGAAGAAATGCAGAACTATTGCTAAGGGATACAGAATTGCAGTGTTACTAAATAAAGAGTTCTGGAGATGGATAGTGATGGCGGCTTAGCAACATAATGGATATGTTTGATACTACGTGGCTATACCTTTAAAAGTAGCTAAGATGCTAAATGTTATGTTGTATTCATCCACAAAATAAAAAGAAATGGGAAAGAAGTCCAGCGATTTCTCATTCTGCGCCTCTCCAACACAGTCTGGGCAAGGGCGTCTAAAGCACAGTTTGCGGGTAAGGTGAGGAAGATGCGGTCCTGACAGCAGAGGAAGGAATTGTCCTGTTCTGTGGCTCTCACAGCCCAGGGCAGAGCAAGCCCCTGAGAGGCTGCTTCTCAGCTGTTTGTTGAACAGTGTTTTGCAGGCAGAAGATGGCGGAGAAGTTGAGAACAAGAAAGGCAGAGTTTGGTTTGCTGTGCCCAGCCTGGCAATGACCAGAAGGGCTGGCGAAATTGGTATCACTGAGGGGGTGTTTAGTCCCAATCTTGAGGTGAGGTGTTCTGATACCGTCCCATTCCTGCCAGATGAGAATGTGAGTTTTAGTGAGACACACCCACCCGCAGTGGGGTATGTACACTTTGAAATTTGAGAAGCATTCCCCTATGAACTGACAAATTAGAAATTAGTCTTCACTCAAACATCCACACCCACTGCTAAAAAAATAATCCCTATGGCAATCAGTTTTTCCTCTCCAGACCTAATACATTCATCTGTCGCACTGTGAGCCACCAGCAGAATAATTTGTGAGCCTTGCAAAAGAGGAGGATGTCACAAGACTGACGGACATGGTATCACGGAACTACGCAGATCACACAGGCTACATTAACAGGAGAGGAACTGGCTGACTTAGACCTGCTATCCAGGGAGGGGGCCTCATCTAGAGGCGTGAGGGCATCCTTCAACAGAGGACAATTTGAATATCAAAGGATTTAGGCAAAACAGAAGAGACTCATGAATATCACTGTAAAAAATGACCCACTTTATGATCCCATTATGGAACGTTAGCAGTTTCATCCAAAAAAAGTGCAAAAATTGCAACATTATGTCGAATCATTAATTATTCCAAAAAGAATTATTGAAAAATTACTATTTTCCTTGTACCATAGAATATAAGTATTTTGTTACAAGCTATGGTCTTGTTTTTATTTTATTTTTTAATTATTTTATTATTCTGTGTGTATGAGTATTTTGCCTTCATGTGTGTCTGTGCACCATGTGAGTACAGGCCTTGTGTTATAGGTGGTTGTGAACCACCATGTGGATGCTGGGAATTGAGCCTGGGTCCTTTGGGAGACTGGCAAGTGTCCTTAACCACTGAGTCATTGCTCTGCCTGTAGTTCTGTTTTGTTTAAAACTTATTTATTTACTATGTATACAGTGTTCTGTCTGCACACCAGGAAAGGGCACCAGATCTCAGTATAGATGGTTGTGAGCCATGATGTGGTTGTTGGGAATCGAACTCAGGACCTCTGGAAGAGAAGTCAGTGCTCTTAACCTCTGAGCCATCTCTCCAGTCCTGTATTTCTGTTTTTAAAGAGAAGATACTACAACTGAGCTTTTTGTTAAGGTTTCCCATGCTGTCTGGACCTTATTTTGAAAACAGTCATACAAAGTGGATTCTGGAGTTTTCCTTCAATAATCCCAGCTGAAAAGGAATTCTAATCATTGCATAGTCCCTTTTCCCTTATAGGGCCTATGTACCATCATCATCACTACCACCACCACCATCATCATCACCACTACCATCATCACCATCACCACCATCATCACCATCATCATCATCCCCACCACCATCATCACCACCACCATCACCATCATCATCATCCCCACTACCATCATCACCACCACCATCACCACCACCATCACCATCATCATCATCCCCACTACCATCATCACCACCATCATCACCACCACCATCATCACCATCATCATCACCATCATCATCATCACCACCACCACCATCATCACCACCATCATCACCATCATCATCATCACCACCACCATCATCACCATCATCATCATCACCACCACCATCATCATCATCACCACCACCATCATCATCATCACCACCATCACCATCATCATCATCACCACCACCATCATCACCATCATCATCATCACTACCACCATCATCACCATCATCATCATCACCACCATCACCACCATCATTATCACCACCACCATCATCATCATCACCATCACCATCATTACAATCATCATTCTTACTACTACCACCACCATCATCATCATCACCATCATCACCATCATCATCAAACCACCATCATCACCATTGTCACCATCATTGTTATTGCTATTACATGTTGGAAAAATATACATTCAGATATGAGGTATAAAGTGGCGTTCTGATTTTTTTTTTTAAATACGATGTCTAATGACTAAATGAAGTCCCTCACCTGAGCCATCAACCACCTCAGCCATTTGACACCTCACAGGATGCAAACCTCCTTGGGACTTTGTGGTCCCAAGTATGACCAGTGTGTGATAATTGGCACCCACTCTCTCTACAGCTCACTGAATGATTCTTTCCAAGCCCATGTCCAGGTGAATTGTGTCTGCCCACTGTGCTGCCCACCGGAGCGGTTCCACGGTAAGTGACAGCCACAGCTAGGTGCCAATACCTGTTGAACAATTGATTACCTTATCCACCATGAGGAAGTTCTCCAGCGTCTCCCCACTTCCGCAGGTGACACCCCCAACTTCTCTTACGGCTCTGGGAAGGATCTCTTGTACCTCTTGGGCAATCATTCCTATACAGAGAACACTCCGACAGGGTTAGTGGGGGTGAGGGGTGATCACAGGATTTCCTACATCAGAGTGGACGACTGGCAGCCGTGGGACTCTTTGGAAATAAAGCTTGCCTCAGCTTTCACTTTCATCTACAACTGAGGAGAGAACCACTATAAAATTAAAAGTAAGTGCCCCCTTACTCCTTCTCTTCCTCCCACTCCTTCTCCCCCTTCCTTTAGACTTCATCTAATGCTGGAAAGGATGAATAAACACTTTTAAATCCCTATACATTGAAGGAAGCAAGTCATGAATTTGGTTCTTTAATGTTCCTATAGGAGACCTTGGTCCCTCAGTGTTCCTGCTTATTTTTAGGGTGCCAGGTTGAGGACCAAGCAGTACTGTGCAGATGTTCCTTGTTTAACTTTACCCATCTGCCATCTTTTCACTCCATCCCTAGACTGCCCAGGACTCCCCTTTATACACTTGGTCTTCACCCCTGAACCCTCGCCTCACAAGCAATATATTCAAAATGCTCTACCAGGACTTGGGGTGCAGCATGGAGGTGTTAAATAAAGGTGACCCACATATTCTCTGACTTTCCCTGTTCCAATGACTGTGTGCCAAAGGATGTGTTGTCAGACGCCACAGCATGCAAGCTCATGATAAAGAGATGACGAGGAGCCTCATAGCTGAGAACAGACAGCTGAAGAGACTCCGCATCTGTACCTGTTTGGTGGGCAGTGTTTATCCCCATGGCAGATGCAAATTCGGGTTTGTAGTCGTATTCAACAATCCTCATCTGGGCTATTCTTCTCAGCTGCTCATTTGTGTCAACCTGATTTCATTAAAGAAGAGCAAATTTCACCTGCTTAGATATTTGTTATTCAAACCGACATCCCGTGTGATCCCAGGAGCCTAGGGAGATGAACTATGTGAATGTCCTTTTCTACTGACCTCACTAGATTAGGAGAGACTTCTTACCTTCTCCTCAGTGAAGCCAAAGTTCTAAGATCCACAGATCCCCTAAAATACATACCCAGAGGATTGAGTCTAAATTATGAGACCAAAGTGCCCCCTACTCCACTCTAGCCTTCCCTTCTCAGGAACATTCAAGGATTCTCACTTTGAAGAACCTGTTTATGATACCAAGGTGTCCTGTTCAGTTGGGTCCAAAGGCTTGCTGCCCAGCTTCTACGTACAAACTGAAAATGCGATGCTAGTTCAAGGACAACCTTGAGGTAAGGAGGGATACCATACTCTTGGACTGACCATTTTGCTGGAGGAAGTTTCTTTGAGAGGGTTGCCCTTTTCTCCCTCCCCGAGCCTCTCAGGGTAAACCTTCTTCCCGACTGTGTCTAGTGATGTCCTGAATTGTCATTGCAAGTCCTCAATAAAAATTTTATTGGCCTCCAGAAAATTGATAGCAAGATAATAAATTTAATCTTCTCTAAAAACTAAATGTTCGATCCAAAGGATTCCCCTTTACTTTGAAAGATTTTTGAAATAAATTCACAAAACAGCTATATCTAACTTTAATAGCATTCATCTGATTAAAAAAAAAAACAAATCAGTGACTTTTCTGTCTGTTCCCTGATTTTTCTTTTAGAATATTGCTGGACTGTGAAATCAATGCTATTTTGGCAGTTAGGAATATATCACCTAGGGACATTTGGCTAAGATGGCAGACTAGAAGCCATCTCTAAGTGAACAGATGATCGGAATTAGGGAAGTAGAAGGGTCAGCCCTGCTGTGCTGCCCAGGCAAGCTTCTCACCTCAGGGCTCACTGATTGACAACATATGCCCCATTCTCTAGTGAACTCCCTCCAAGGTGTGACTTGACACCCGCCCCTGCAACCACAGTTGCCTCCTGGAATAAGGCATGCTGGCCTGGGCCCTCTCCAAGTCAGCCTTAAATGCCTCTTCTAGCAAACACCCACAGAAGGTGTATCATCAGTGAGATTTGCAGTGACCACCACACTGCCTGCCTCCCCGGCATCCACACCCCATCTGCTACCCCACCCCACTGGTGCGTAACTCCAACAGCAGTGACTGCCACTATCCCAACCTTAGTACCGCCAGGATCCTCAGGCCCCTGCCTAGGAATCAGCATCTTTCATCTCCACAGCTCAGCTTCACAGGGGTGAGACTCCTGAGAACCTGACCAGGACAAGCACAGGATACTAAGCCAAACCATGAGAGGAGTCATCCAGCAAAGGCCACTTCCTCTCTCCTAGCCCTTCTGAGGAAACCAGCACTCTGCCAGCACAAACCAGGAGGAGAAAGTGGAGCACCAAATCATCCCACAAAGCCTTCATTATCCGGATACCGAACTCAAATGAAGACTGAAAGATAACTAGAGTACAAAAGACCAGTTTCCCTGCTGAGAACAGGTGCAAAATTTCTCGACCAAATACTCACAAACTGAATTCAAGAACATAGTAATATTATACATTTTATGACCAAATGGGTTCTGCCTTAGAGACGCAAGGCTGGTTCGACATAAGCAAATCAATAAATCTAACACACAAAGTTAATAAACGTGGGGACAGAAATCACAGATTCTCTCAACAGAGACTGAAAAGACATTTGACACAATTCAATATGCCTTCGTGGGAAAAGTCTTAGACAAACTGGTAACAAATAGAATGTACCTCAAAATAATCGAGGTTACATACAACACCCACAGCCAGTAGTATGTACTGAGATATTTCCTGTAAAATCTGGAGTGAGATAAAGATTCCCACTGGATTTCAGTTCAAAGTCACAGCAGTAAGAGAAGAAAACTCTGTACATGTGTTAAAATAGGAAGGAAGAATTAAAATCATCGTTATTCACAGACCGTGTGATTCTATACTAACCAGACCCTACAAACTCTTCCGGAAAACTCTTTTCAGTTTTTGCAGAATGCAAATATCAACATAGGAAAACCAGTGCTTTCATCTATACAAATAGTGAACTTGTTGAGAAAGAAAGAAGAAAAAAATGATCTTTTTTCCAATATCTAAAATAAAATAACAAGAGACTAGAAACAACTATAACCAAGGCAGTGAAGAACCTCTACAAGAGAAGTTTTATACCTCTGAAGGAAGAGGTTGAAGAAGATAGCAGAAAATAAAAAGACCCTATGGCTATAGATTGATAGAATTAATATTGTGAAAATTACCATTCTACCAAAAGCAATTTTCAGATTCAATACTAATAAAAGTATTTACAACATTCCTCATAGAAATAGAAAAAATATCCTAAAATTTACCTGGAGCCACAACACATCCCAGACAACCAAAGCAATCAGTTCCTAAACATTTTAACCCCACCGCAGCAGGGATTAAGTTATGAGGTCTCTACACTCACGAATGGATTGACAAGAGAGCTATGAGGAGTGGAATGTGGTTGTACAAACCCTACATTTCGAAGGCAGAGGCAGGTCTATCTCTGTGAGTTCAAGTCCAGCATGGTCTACTTAGAAAGTTCCAGGCCAGCTGGGCGGTGGTGGCACACGCCTTTAATCCCAGAACTCGGGAGGCAGAGGGAGGCGGGTCTCTGTGAGTTCGAGACCAGCCTGGTCTACAAGAGCTAGTTCCAGGACAGGCTCCAAAACCACAGAGAAACCCTGTCTCGAAAAACCAAAAAAAAAAAAAAAAAAAAAGAAAGAAAGTTCCAGGCCAGCCAGAGCTACATAATGGAATTCTGTCTAAAACAAAACAACAGAAACATAAGAGACTAGCTCAGTAAGTCAGACCTCTTTCCTTAAGCCCCTCCATCTTTCTGCCATGTGAAAACAGCGGTCAACACACCTTCTTGGCATGCCTTCAATCGCAGCCTTTGGTAGACATTAAATCTGTCAGTACCTTCATCCTGCAATGCTTCTTGAATTACTAGTAATAAATTTCTATTTTGTATAAATTGCCCAGTGGCATTTCACTATAGCAGCGCAAATGGTCTGTGAGCCTTCTAGAAACCCTGGAAGGATTAAAAGTTTGGGAAACTGACTCGGGGAGAGAAAAGAGGATGTCCACAGATCCCTGCCACCACTGATGACTTTATCGCCTTCCGTCTCGTATCTGTGATGAGCAGCAAATAGGACAGCTTGAAGTTTTCAGAACATATCCGTCTCACAAATACATAAAACACACATACTAATATGAGATGATTTTAATATATCTTATTAATACTATGCATTTTGTGTAAGCAAACCTATCATTTACTTAGGTTTTTACAGGTTAAAAAAATGTTTTGGGGCTGGAGAGATGGCTCAGCGGTTAAGAGCATTGCCTGCTCTTCCAAAGGTCCTGAGTTCAATTCCCAGCAACCACATGGTGGCTCACAACCATCTGTAATGGGGTCTGGTGCCCTCTTCTGGCCTGCAGGCATACACACGGACAGAATATTGTATACATAATAAATAAATAAATATTTTTTAAAAAATGTTCCACACAGAAAATCTTAGAAAAAAACTCCTGATGTGGGTAAGAGGCTCTCACTCGAGTATTCTTTAGGCATGGATTGCAAACTAGGGATTTGCAATAGAAGCCTGGCACAGCCCTGGGTTAAAATCCTGAGCTGAAGCTGTCAGGGTACAGCTCCGGGCTTCTAAGCATAGCCTACAGTTCTCTTTATCCCCTCAGCTTGCTGGAAACAGAAACAGGAGGGGGGGGGGTTCCTCATCTGGAGTCTAGGGCGGGGCTACTTATATCAAGACTGCTTCCTCGAAGGATTTGAAAAGCTCCAAGGGATGTCTGTTATTCAAAACAATCTATTTTCTCTAATCCAGAGCAAAATCTGATGACTTTTGGCAAATGAAATTCTGTGGAGGCCTGGTAATTGCTACCAGGACTGTGGAAGACATTCTCAATTTGTGACGCTCCACCGAGACTTCCAATTGAGATGTCATAAGCCATTCGTGTGGCCAGACGCAAGGACATGTCCGAGTTAGCATGAGCTAAAATGCAGACGGTGTACGTCTCTCCAAAGCTGGAAATATAGAACTATAAATTTGGAAATGTCTGTGAGACCCTTCTAGTCCTGAATTCCTATCCAAGGAGGAGATTACAGCAACCCTAATGTGAACGGGAGCTGGGAGAGCAACGCGAAAGGCCGCAATGACAGACCTTCTTGGGAATCTTCTCCAGAGCTAGCCCAGAAAGCCCAGCGCACATTTGCACTGGGAAAGGGACACAGTCTGGACGAAAGGCCAATGATCGACAGATTTGATCTTCTGTCGGTCGAAAGAAGAACAAATAAAGGAGGGAGAATGAGGTGCAGAGCAAATTACAGCAGTCTCGCAAGAAGAGACGTGAGACGGTGGAGACTTGGCGGGTGCCGTGAAGGGAACACTGGATGCCGGAGAAGCCGGAATCAGGAGTGGCCGTCATCCTGATCACACTGCCCCACGGAACTCCTACAACTTCCTCTAATCTAAAGAATCTAAAGAAATTTTAGATTCTTATTCCAACTAATCAGAAAAGAACTCCCGAGGGTCAGGTAGGCCCACTTCCATGTCACAGTCGCAGGCCGTGACTTCAGCCAGCTGTAGCACCTTTATTTAATTGTATCTTCAGGCCAGATTTTAATAGCTGTTAGGCAACTGCCTGTACTAAATGGAGCAAGGTACCAGTTGTCTAGCCCAAAGTTTATTGTCCCAGTAAGGCCCCCACTGGGGAGCTTTTCAAATGCTCCTCAAAGATCTTGCATGGGAAGACAGTGGCTAGCAGAGCCAGTACAAGGGACCCTGGGAGGAAGGGGCTAGAGGAATCTACCATTCAGTAACCAGATGGAGGGGACCAATGGGAGGCAGGAAATGCCAACCGTGGAAGGTAAGCACTGGCCGGTGGAAAACAACTGTAAGACATGCTGCCTCTGCCCACTGACTGTTTGGTAAACCCGTCCCCCAGGGATAGGGACAACTTCACAATTGCAGCAGAGATGCCCTCCAGCCATTATCTTCAAACAACTTGTTATTTCACACCTAGAGGTGACACACAAAGCTGCCCTGGGCCAGAGTGTCAGGCTGAAGTCCCAGGCTCCTGATTGAGGTGTCAGAGGAAGAGCCCTGTGCATACCCCAGGCTCACCTCCTGGATGTTCTCCTTCACCCGGCTGTCAGAGGGATGCATGACGGTTCCCATCACTTTCATGTTGCCACACACAACCAGGGCTTCGTCGGGTGCGTCTGTGTTTATTCCTACTCGACCGTGACAGACGACAGAGTCTGGAACTTGTCCGCGCTGCCATAGTGCATCACTGTCGTTCTCAAACTGCCCAGGGTTAGAGGCCTGGAGAAACACAGCGGCACACGGCAGTTCAGCTCACGGTGGCAGAGAGAAACAGACTGGTGTCCGAGTCCTTCCCATGAGACTCCCATAGTGGTAGAACACGCTGATGTAGATAAATGCACACCGAGAGCGAGCCCGACAGGAGGAGCTCCGCAAGCCAAGGCTGAGAACAGCCAGTCTCTGGAACGGTCCTCAGAGACTGAACTGTGTGTTCACTTACGGCACATGAGCAGCTGTCAAAGGCAGAGGTGGCAGCAGGGGCTGCGGAGAGAGCAGGGACGAAAAGCTGGGACTCCCTTTTCGGACATAATAATAGTTTAAATTCAGGTCAAAAAGTGTACACTACGTAATGCTCAAGAAAACAAAAATACCTCGTATTTAACTAGCCTTTCATAACTTCCCAATACTCGTATTGGTGATTTCACAAACATATAAGACTCACTCAACTATTCCCTACACACAGGGGTCCTGTGGCAGCTACAGCTTTGTTGCTAATCTACACAGCAACTGTATGACATAAACACCGTTATGGTCATCTAATTGGCACGCTGAAAGGACAATAAATTGCCCGAGAACACGTAGCTAATCCATGCTACATTTCCTCTGGTTACTAAGTAAGGACTCAAACGTTGCTGTTCTACAATGTGGCCTTGAAGTAGCCCTGGCAATCTTTAAAACAATCCAAAAATTTCTATGGGGTTACCTTCTTCCCTCCCGGCTTCTCTGTAGCTGCTGTTTCCAAATGCCTTACGCAGGGGTCTCCAAATCCCTCACATTCCTCAGGACAAAATCTACTTTCTTTTTCTAAATGACAATGTTTTCTTCTAAATGTGATTTTTGCATTTGTAGCCAGATTAACTAGCAGCCTGACGCCGCAGCAGGTAGAATTCACACAGTGGATTCCACTTTTGCCCATCTGCTGGGTCTTGCGTATCTGGGCACCGTTTATCCCCGAAGACAGCTCGAGGAGTCTCTATAGCAGTTGGCTCGGGAGAGACCCGGGAATTGGGGTGGGTGGCAGGGGCGGTGCTCACCAGACACTTTTTTGATCTTGCTCGAATGTTCTGCCACCTGCACGTGTTACGCATTACAAAATAAATAAATAAATGAAGCCGCCAAGTTTAGCTTTTACTTTGATTTCAGTTGAAGGACTTTTGGGCAACTACACCCTCGTCTTTTGCTTCTACCAGCTTGAAACTTGGACTTCTCAGAAGACCCAGCCTCTGAGGCGTCACAGGCAAGAGCGGTGGGAAAATTCAAACCAACAGCTTGAAACGTTATTTTGTAGAAACTGACTTAAACAAAAAGTTTTCTGCAAGATCCCTGGAGCCTTTGGATGTGAACGGTGAGTTGGCTTTGACTCAGGTTCCTTTGCGGTGAGCGATCAACACCGGAGCACAGAGAGAGCCTATGGGCTCTGCTCTCTGCCGAACATCATGAGGCACTTGGAGGCAACCGGCCAGGACAGTGATGGCTTCTTGTTGTTGGCTGACGTTAACGAGCTTTGGGATAATGCTTACCGTGTTGGTAACTGGACACTAAAGGAGACATCAGTTGTTTTTTTTCATTTGCATTTGTTAAAATTAGCTAAAACTAAGCTCCTAAAATATGGTCAAATGTTCTCAAGAAGGAGCGCAGATAGATCGACAATAGATACTAAGAAGGGGTCAGCATCTCAAGAGAATAACATAAGATGTGAGCACCGGCCCCCGCCGCGCCCCGCCCCGAGACCCGTGTCTTCGGGTGTCAGAGTAGCCTGTACTGTACCCCACCGTGGTTGCTGGACACCAAACGCCAAAATGTTCCCTTTACTTTTCCAAATTTTTTGTCTCATGGTTTCATGTTTAGGGAGGACTTGAATTCCAGTCTAGGTTATGAAACCAGCTAATTGTAAGACTCCCTGGGGGTCATTTATCTCTGTGTACCAGAGTTACCTTTTGAATAGCGATAAACCTATTTACTGTCTTTAGCAATCTCCAAAGGCTATTGTGGGATTAAGTAACAGTCTTAATGTGAACTGTCTGCAAAACTGAGAGCAAACTGAAACAAATTCATCCTCCACATCTGGCTGGATACAGAGCTCACTGGGATCACAGCAGCAGAGCCACAGTTCCCGGGACTCCCTTCTGCGAGAACACAATGTAAAGGGCGCCCCCTGCAGGTACTTGGGATAGCAAACAGCATTAGAACTGATTTGATCGGAATGAAAACGGCTGGAATTTCTGTTTTAACTTTGTTTGTGACTCTAAACACAGTCAAGGTGCCAATAGAAGAACTTGGCCTTTATCAAGCAGTTCTTAGGAAATAAATGTGTGCATCTTTTGAACGAGTCATTAAAACTGGGTCCAAAAATATTTTTCGGCAGGGCCATTCTGTGTGACATCCACTATTAGGAACTTAATGAAAATGCATATTCCTGGACATCTCAGGCTATTAAAATAGAAACTCTGGAGGTGGGTATGGCTATCTATGTCTGCACAAGCTCCCTGGGTAGGTTGGGATAGGGAAAGAAAGTTTGTGGTCAGAAATCCCCCAGAGAACATGAAAAGGAGCTGTTCTGAGGACGGCTTTTTCTGGCCCTACTTCTCGCCAGCCGTACAGACACTGCTGTCTTTGGTGTTGACTTTCTACTGCAGTGTGGTTTGTAGGGGGGAAGCAGGAACCCTTGAGGATGGGGTCGTTTCTAGTCTCCCCAGAACAGAGACAGAAATAACGTGCTTCTTTTCAAACGGAGAAAATCCCGAAGCGTCTTTGAAAGGTGGGCAAAGGTAATTGCCCCAAGCGTTTGCCATTCAGCACCCCCAAACTACCTCTAATTATGTATTTCAGAAAGGAAGGAGAGGTGAAGAAACCCTGGTTGTTAACACAGGGGACCTTGAAGGAACTCCACTCGGGAGTGCTCCCAAAAGCAAGGGCCTGGCAAATACATCTCTTCACTGGAGAAAACCTTAACTGACCCTAAATTAGTCCATTTACACCACAGGGGTTTAATATATTTCTAAAGTTGTATGGTTGACAAACCAGGTGGACAATGACTGAACTCTGACCACCGTTCTCCCTTCCAAGGAGAATTTTGACAAATACAGTGTCCTGGACACCTCCCAGAGGCCAGAGTCTCAGGGACAGTCCTCATCAAACAGTGAAACACTGATCTTCTTTTGAGAAACGGCTCTTAGTCCACAAAGTGGATTCCGGTGTTCAAAGAGTGGCTCCCCCTCCCTACGCATAGTCAAGCACGCAGCACCCTTAATTATTAAACTTTCCCGCCTGTTGTTTATTCTGGAGCTCAAGCTGACAGAACCAGGCCATGGCCTCAGAGGCCACACTTGACTCTTGGGTATGGTGCAGTACCCAGCCATATGGATGTACCACACAGAGACGGTCCTTTCTAGAATGCTGGGTGCAGCAAACACTGGTGAGCATCTCTAAAACTACCTGAATGAAATAATAATGCCATCACTTGCATTTCTTCTCTCTCTGTCTCTGTCTCTCTCTGTCTCTGTCTCTTTCTCACTCCCCCCTCCCCCCCATGGTGTTAATCTGAGTGGGCCGAGAAGTCTGCTTCCACTGTTACACCCGAAGGCAAGAAGAAGCTCTGCCTTCCCGAAGCAGGCAGCTGTGTCCCCAGGGCCTTGGGTTGGTGGCTGGGATCACGGGCCTGCCCACAGAGAATGAGAAGCTCCCTACTGGAGCTTCACATCCTCCCTATGTCACTCTTAAAAGCCCCAGGACTGCACGGCCTCAGTGGCAGCTAGTCAGGATTCATACCCATAGCTGCAGCCGCTAGTAGCTTAAAGTCGCTATCACGGCCAAGTAACCCATCTGCACCTGTAACCATCCGGCAACTGTCACTCGGCAAACGTGTTGGAGCGGCCAAGCAGCAAGCAGCCCCAATGCCCTGGGGTCAGCCATCACATGGGGACCCAGGAAACCTCCGTGGTGCATCCCTCACTCATTAGACCTAGGTCAAAGAGAGCTGGGATGCTACACGAACCCCACTGTTTACAAGCTGAGTGATCTGGAATACATCTTAGGCCTCTGTTCTCTGAGAGCAGGGAATGGTCACAAAGTGAAGGCATCATGGGTATAAAGTGGAATCGTAGATTTAACCAGAGCCTCCAAAAGAGAGTCCGTGTCAGGGTTTTTAACCTCAGTACCACGGCATGTGGGGAAGGGATGCTCCCAGTGAGCATAGTGCCCTGTGCATTGTAAAGCACTGCGTGGCATCTCTGGTCGCTACGCCTTAGCGTGGATAAAACAGTCCTTGGTTGAGAACCACACTATAAAAAAAAAATGTAGTTTTTGCTATTATCAAAATCAACAACCACGGTTGGGAAAAAAAACACCTCAAGCATGTCGCTGCCAGTTCAACTTCTCCCTGCAAGGCAGAAAAGCATACATGGTCCAGAGAAGCAGAGAACTCTGCTTACCCGTACGATGATCCTTTCAGAGATGTGGGCAGCCAACAAGTAGAACTGGTCTTGGTTAGCAGCATACAGCCCGACCACCAACATGAAGTATCTAATTCAGAAACAGCAGGCTGATGGGGGTGCATCAAAGAATAGAGACCCAACATTTCATTCATAGTGAGCTCAGTTAGACGGGTTCACTTGCAGACTGCCTTCCCCTCCCATGTCAGCAGCATACTCAGGGAAATGGAAGAGCGAGTGGCTAGCTTGCTCCTATCCCGGTGTGTCTGGGAGCAGCCCCCCTGGGGAGAGCCCCTAGGTCTGGGTTCAGCCCACCTATGTGGACTTGCCTATGCCCCACCCCGGTGCATCCCTGAAGCACTGTTTACAAACACAGGACAGAAACCACCAAGGTCCCCGTGTCCTCAACCATCTAGGTCAGACATCCTGGGTCCTAATGTTGGACTTAGAGGCTATGCCCATCACACTGGACTTTTCCCACCTTGACCTGCCTCAGTCATCCTCCCTCCAATCACTTTGGGAGTACTTAAGCACCATCCTCACATGACCCATCAGTGAGATCATCCTAGGATCTAACTATGTCTTAAAGGTCAGAACAAAAGCTCTCTGTGAAGTCTATCTTCCCAGGGCTGGGGAGATGGCTCATTGGCTAAGAACACTTGTTATTCTTACAGAGGACCAAGATTCATTTCCAGCATACAGGTTTGGTAAGCACAGTCAGCCCTCAACCCAAGAGCAATGACCGAAATGTGTGGTCGCCCATCTAGAGGACCATGGCGGGAATTAGACTGAACAGGAGCGAGCATTGCTGGGAGCAGGGATGGGAGAACAAGGGTGTCTGGGTAAAATGCCAAGTCGGAGAAGGGAGGAGATCCGGGAAGCAGGCTGGGGGAGCTGGCTGCGTGGCTCAGCAGATCAGAGGGGTCCTTCCTAGCTAGGTGATGTGTCTGGACATTCTTGCTCACAGTGGCCCAGGTACCTCTGGTCAGGATTCGGCTTCCCCTTCTTTCTCATGTTGTTGGCTGTGGTTTCACTGAAGTGTAACCGTCCCAGCGTTACTTTGGTAACCTGGTCAGTCAGAAGGTCGATTCTAAAGCAAACAACAGAAATGTCAAGAGAATGCAATAGAGCGCAGCGCTTGGGCACATCTGGTCTCCTGGAACCCTCAGAGGGTTTTGTTCCCTGTTCTCATCACCCCGCAGAAGCTTCATACCCTGGAGTTTCTTACTTTGGCAGAAATCCACAGCATGGGTGCACCAAGAAAGGTCACAGAACAACTCCTTGCTAACTGAAGCTATATGTATGCTTCAGGTTTCCAACCCAAGGACCATGAACTCAAGATGTCCCAACTGGTTTCTGTTGCCTCCACAGCAAGAGGAAAGACACACTTATGTGTGCTCACAGTCGCTACAGCACCCAGCTCCTCACAAGTGACCCCTTTAGGTTCTTCCAGACCTCTGGCTTCTCCTTCAAGCAGGCGACCTCCCACAGCCCAGCCAACAGGAGGCAGCACGCTTCAAAGAAAAGCCATGCAGCCTGCCCAAGGAAGGGAGACCCCATCGTATGCCAGCCAAGTCACGTGTTTGCTCGTGTGCCTGGGCTCCTCAGACATTTGTATGAGTGGCTCTGTCCAGGCTGTAGAAGTATCCCGCCCCAAATGGGCCTGACTGCGATCAGCTTAAGCTACCGCAACTGCATCCTGGCCTAATAAGCCAGGGAACGGATGCTGCCTCATGCCCTTCAAGAGAGAGGACTCTAACTTGTTACGTCATTCCTGCTGTGGATGCTACCCTGGGTGCAACCACCAGCATCTGTCAAGGTAACTGTAAAATACACGGGGAAATGAACTGTATGCACGCATATAGGAAATATTGAATTTTTTTGCAATGATCTCGAAGCTTTATTTTTATGGATAAACACGTGTTCATAATACTAGCATCCTATTACTAACTTAGATCTATTATAGGTTTTGTCATAAATAGGGAAAGTAAATAATACTAGTCATCTTCCCCAAACCTTCACCAAGATGTCCTCAGAAAAGAAATTCTTACTTAACAGGATCGAAAGTCTTTTTACTTCTATCTGCTTGGGACTGTTCGATAGCAATCACTTGGTTGGTGGCTTCTACCTGTATAGAAAGACAAAAAGTAAATCAATTCATAGATTAATCAACTTATCAAAAATAATGTTTACTAATAGAAAGAGTTCATATACTTAGAACCTTTGCCAGGGGACAGGCTGGGCTCTGGGAGGGAAGTCTGAATTCTGAAAAAGACACGCTAGACTAGCAGCAGTGTGCCATTGTATAAAAGAGCGATGCCTACAGAATTAAATGATGAAATACAGAGTGAGCTATGAAAAGACCAAAATATCAGAAGCAAAAATGAATAAAAATAAACTAACAAGCAAAGCAGCTCAAAGAATATATCCATTCATTCATTCATCCATCCATCCATCATTCATTCATCCATTCATCTTTTCATCCATCCATCATTCACCCTTTCATTCATCCGTCTATCCATCTATCCATCCATCCATCTATCCATCCATCCATCCAATTATCCATCCATCTATCCATTCATCCATCCATCATTCATCCTTTCATCCATCCGTCCATCCATCCATCCATTCGTCCATCCATCTATCCATTCATCCATCCATCATTCATCCTTTCATCCATCTGTCCATCCATCTATCCATCCATCCATCTATCCATCCATCCATCTATCCATTCATCCAGCTGTTCATCCATCTATCCACTCACCCATCCATCCATCTATCCATTCATCTATCCATCTATCCATTCATCCATCCATCTATCCATTCATCCATCTATACATCCATTCATCAGCTCATTCACTATCTAGTGAGCACCTGCTATACACCAAGCATCACTCTAAACATTATAGGTAAGTGAACAAAGCAGTCAACACTGTTATTACCCTCATTTACTTTCTAAAAGAAAAAGAAGTGAATAAAATTGAAAATGGACAAGATTAATGCACTTGGATGCACATACAGAAATACAGTGAATTCCATTAATATGTATGATCAGTACATATTCGTAGGTATAATTTTAAAGTGAATAAAATTAATAAAACCTACTAGGCCTGGTGGTACAAGCCTGTAATGGTAGGTACTCAGAAGCTGAGGCCAGAAGATGGTCAGGTTCAGGCTTGCCTGGGTGACAAGTGAATTCGGGACAAGCTTAGGAAACAGTGAAATTGTATCTCATAATAAAAAATAAAAAAGAAATCTGGGGATAGAGTTCAGTGATAGTCTTGCCTAGCATGCATCAGGCCATTGATTCATCCCTATTAATATTTACATCATATGAGTGCATGAACACACATACAAACCCTCCTTAAGTTCTATATGAAGGAACAATGACTTGGCCTCTAAGTAACATGAGATGGTGTTTCTTCTACAGCTGCTCCACACCCTATTCCACGAACACTGCCATCGGGCATTCACACTGTCACAGGACAGTGTTTCTAGAAAGCAAGGAGGCAACTGAGATCAAATCCCCTCTTGGGATTTATCCTCCGGCATAAACGTTCAATGAAGTTTTGTCTAAAAGACAGAAATGAAATTTCCAGCAATAAAGCTCTGAGTATTATGTATCCTTAAGACAGAAATCTGTTCCAGCTTTATCAACAGTATTCCGTTAAGTCTGTGCGACCACAGACTTTCATCATGTGAGGTTAACAGGATAGCATTTATTAAAAGAGCAGAACTAGTCCACCAGTGCTGGACCTCAACCAGGAAGACTCCACTGTCTGTTCACACATTTCTGTTACGTACCAACATTTCACAGTGGACACACTATTTCTATACTCATAAAAATACGTTTGGTAGTTGTTGCTTATTTGCTTGTTGTTTGTATTTAATTTTTGCTGCTGGTTCATTTTAAGAGTTCACCCGGGAACAAAGGTGATTGGTGGATACAGCATCCAGCTACATTTTGGAAGACACCACCCACACCTAAGCTCAGGTTCACTATTTGGATGAGGTCTGTATGCAACGGACCTCTCTTAAGGGGCTGGGCAGGAGATAATAATTTAATGTGGTTTCTGCTGCTCTCAAACCATGTTATGTGTGTGTAAGAAGAAACACAGCTGAGTGCCAGAAGTGAGGTGTCATACCCAGACTGACCAAGTTGCGGATGTGTGACCCAAATAAACGACTGTTATCATCTTTAAGGCACTAATGTTTGAGATAGGGATTGTGTAGTATGGATAAAATGACTGCCATTACTGTTCAGGATGAATCATGTAACACCACTGGACCTGTTTCCCCTGTGTTAATATACAGAAAAGGTGGGGCGCTGACTAAATAGTGCTTCTTTAGCTTTTGAAGTTAGAGAACTCTGAGAACTGGGTTACAATTGAATCCATTCCCTGAGGTCATGCACCAGCAGCAAATCTAAAATGGCTGAGTGTAGCGACATTTGAATCGTATTTTAATAAATAAAGCTTGCCTGAGGACCAGGAAAATAAAACAGCCACACTGGTCAGCCTTACAGCCAGGCTGTGGTAACACACACCTTTAATCCCAGTAGCCACACTAGTTGCTAAAGAAACCGGGCAGTGCCTTTAATCCCAGCCAATGGGAGGAAACAGCTCCCAGACACAGTCTCATTCTGAGATTCCTGGAGGCCGGATCGCCATTTTGGACTGAGGTCGAGGTAAGAGCCAGTGGCTGGCTGTTTTGCTTTTTCAGATCTTCAGGTTGAACCCCAGTTTTCCTCTCTGAGTTTTTATTGATTGTGCTTCAGTGGAGATCAATGCACCAAGACGAGAAAACAGTTTGTACCCTGGAAGCTAAAAGCCACAGTTCGAGGCGATGTGGTGCCAAGGTTAGGGCTCACATCTGAGGAAGTAGCAGATTGTCCTTCCTGTGTCTTGGACCTTTATTCCCCATGCCATAAGAAGCACAAGCCGCCTCACTGAGGCATTTACACAGAGAAGAGCTGATGCCGCCCAAGCCCAATCCCACTTCAGCACGGGGTGACAGGAAGCCAGAATGTGACAGGAACATCATAGAAACATCTCAGTGGCCTTCTCTGGCTGACAGTGGAAGAGGGTGAGCTGCCTCAGCCTCATCTGATCCGGGTCAGCTTTGTGGTCTGAATAAATTCCTGCTGATGAGTTTAAGCCACTGGGGTCTGAGGTTAGGAGAACACTTAAGAAGCACTGGTTAGAGTAAGCTGAATTAACAAAAGGACCTACCTTAATTCCAAAGGCTTTCAAGTAAAACATTTCTATTGGCTTCAGGCCCATTTGGGTTTTAACAAACTTCGGGCTTCCCCAGACTTGGATGTGGATGGTTATCTGGAAATGATTCTTCTTTTGACACACAAACGCTTCATCTACTGGTGAGAATGTGAACCCTTTGTCTGTCACAACTTGATAGCCCACGTCAGGCCTGAAAAGAGACAGATCATGAAACCAATTGCATGGTGTTTTCTTTCTTCCTCGATAGAGCCAAGAGTGTAAGCATCCCATTGTGTGAGGCAAACTGCGCCAAGTGCCCTTTGCTGTATTCAGTCAGTCTGTTTCCCGCAGTTCTACTGCAGAAATAAACATGACATTTTGAAGCACACTGGCCTTTTTTAATCTTCTTATAAGGAAGCCATATGAGTTGTGCCAAACAGAACCATCATTTCCCCAGACTTCTCCTGGGTGCTTTCTAAGAACTTTTAATCTGACTCCACACCACACGTGAGAAAGGGGGGCGGGGCTGGAAGCTCAGCAGTCAGCTCATCACTCACAGTTACCTAGGGTACAACTAATCTCCTCTCTTTAAAGGACACTTCTCAATGTCACAGGGACCTTAGCCACTCAGCTGAAGGAAATGTTCAGCCCACCGATTGTCCTATGAATAAAACAGGCTGCTCAGAACAGCTAGGGACAACTCTAAACCAAAAGAACCAGAGCCAGTCATTGCACAGATTGAAAACATTGTCTTTCCCGGAATATCTTCCTGCCCCTTTGGTCCTTCCAATCTGGTAACAGCACTGAAAACCACCACAAGTATTTCTTCTGCGGGAAAGAGAGTTGGCTTTTCTCTTTTCTCTCTGGCAGCAGAGTGGCTAGCCAGAATTTTTGCTTTATTTAATACTTCCAGTAGTATGTTGGGATATTATAATGTTATATAAATATTCTGTAAATAACATGATGAATAAGCATATTTTAAGTGTTAATAAAAGGGGGGGAGGCTGGAGAGATGGCTCAGCAGCCAAGAGTGTGTGGTGCTCTCCCAGCGGATCTGAGTTCGGTTCCCGGCACCCACTTTGGGCAGCTCACACCCACCTGCATCTCCAGCTACAAGAGAATTCCACCCTTCTGTCCTCCTCAGGCATCTGCACATGTGTGCACACACCCCCATGCAGACAAATAATTAACAAAGTCAATCTTTTAAAAAATTAATAAAATGGACGGATTAGATGCTAATATCATTAACTAGACACAAAAATACAAAAGCTTTAAACTTCCTTGGTGAGATTCTCCTGTAAATGTTGCTGATGTGGAAGATGGTTTTTAATTCATCAAGGCTTCTAAAAAGGGACTTTTTGTTCAAGAGAACAGTTCCTCCTTAGAGCCAGGAGTGAGGACAGGGGTATCCACTGGTCTCTTATGAGGCTACCTGCGGAGGGTGATTGCCGTTATCACAAAAGCACAGAGCTTTGGAATTTTACTCTATTTTCAAAACCAGAAAGTGTTAGCAGGCTTCTTGGGAAAAGGAATAGCCATGTTCTTTTCGAGTTGTATGCCTGCCGATGGATCGCATCCCTGCACCAGCAATTACCTTCAAGTAACCAGTTACAGGTCTAGCAAACTCAGGGCTCAGCAGCAGCAAATGAAAAGCCATCCAACAAAGAATTTGAGGAAGATTATGTGCCTTCTACTGTCTAGGAGCTTGATATTGACTTGGTTTCCACAGTCAGTCTGCTAATGTGCTTCTTAAATTGTGGGTCATAACCCCACACGGGGCCACAAGTCATCTTGTCTGATGTCACAGCACCCTCGGTTCTGAACATACATGTGCATGTCATAGAATACACGCCTGCAGCACACCAGGCTAGTGATGGCTGCCTGGAACACAGCCCACATTCCAAGCAACTGTCTGTTATGGGGTGTAGTGTTTCTACCGTCCAGACAAGCGATTTTGTTCTTACAGAAAGAAAAAGGTTGATTATAGAAAACAAAGACTTCTAAATAGTTTCTCATTGTAGGATTCAATTGTAGGATTTGGCAGGTAGGATCAAATTAATATCACTTTGGACTGGACTGCATTTGAATATTTGATTTAAAAATTGTTTTTAGAGTTGTCAACTTGAGATTCATTTTTTAAAAAAAATAATTAAATGAATCTTGGCTTAGTGTTTGGATAGAATTGCCAACAGTTTATGAAATGATCTTAAATACACCTTTCATAAATGTATACTATCTATTTTTGTGAATCAGTGTTCTTGGCACTGATAATAATAAAATCAAAACATCTATAAACTGAAAAACATTGAAGGTATTTCATGTCTTACAGTATCAAATATGAGCCAAGATTTAATTCTTTATATAAAAATTAGTATGCAAATTTGTTTTTCTTTTTTAAATGGCAAAACTGTATTTATATCAATAATTGTTTTTCAAATATTTTGTGTACCTATCTTATATACCTTCCCAGGACTGTATAAAAGTTACTCAGGAGGAAGGGCTGTGGGTGAGAAATGTTTGAGAAGCCCAAGTCTAAAGCCTGGGTGAATAAAGTGGTGCTGACTTACGGAGGGTAATAATAACTGTCTTGGTGAAGTGGTACACACCTCACTGCCAAAAAACCTGAAAGAAGAGGGCTTACAGCTCAGACGTGAGCATCCGACTGAAGGACCAATGAGAACTAACCTGAATTGTGTTGAACTGTGATAGTCAGTCCCTGACTAAATATCCATCTCTTCACTGCAGAGAGGCAATTCTTCCTTTGACATCAGAAATTACACATGAAGCCAACTGAGCTTGCTTTGCCAAACTGTCTTCTGTGCTACAGGCTTGAAACCCTCGGGGAAAGGCGGGTTAAAAAGTGTTAATCCCTAACGTCATTGCTTTGGGTAATCTAGGGAAACTGTGTTTTCACAGCGCATTAAACATATTTACCTATAAACAAGTGCGTGATTTTCTGTCTCTAACTTGAATAGTCAAATCAAGAGAGCTTGAATGATCATCTCAGTGAATGTTGCCTTTGTTTAGAGAAAGAGAATGATGGCTGAGTATTCAAAATAAATCTGCTTCCGTACCTTTGAGCTGATTCCCTCTGGGTTCTCTCTCTCTTTTTTTTTAATTCCAGATCAGTGAAACACAGACAGGCTGTTGAAATAGGCCAGTGTGTGGTGGTGGTGGTGGTGGTGGTGGTGGTGGTGGTGTGTGTGTGTGTGGGTGTGTGTGTGTGGTCTGTCTGTGAGCGCAGGTCCTAGAGAATCAGGATTTGGTTGTCTCCTGCCATCTTGGGGGACGCAGGGACGAACCCAGGACTGCTCTCAGTACTTCTCCCCACTAAGCCACATGGAAACACGCTTCTAAAGTCTCCTCTGAGAGAGAGAGAGAGAGAGAGAGAGAGAGAGAGAGAGAGAGAGAGAGAGAGAGAGAGAGAACACTAACCCTTTGAAAGTTGGCCAACTCAGATGCACGGAGACAGGAAGGTTTTTCCTGCCTGTGACAGTTTCGTATTTCAGACAGAACATTAAATGTTCCCAAAAGATAATCAAGGGAAGGCTGTCTCAGCAGCAAGATCTAGACATTTCTCCTCTGTTTACTAAGTGCACACAGAAGCCCAGGCACCCTTGTGACATTTCAATGACATCAGCCTCCTTCTTCTGTCTATTAAACACAACTCCCCAAATCTTTTTGAATCCTTAGGCTTGACTTTGAGAAAAACATTTGTGTTCCTGTAGCCTACCCAGAATAAGGGTCCCAGAGGTAAGCTTTGCTATATTTGAATTTGGAAAACACCAAAAAGGCCCTCCAGTAGGTTGCTGGGATTTCTTGCCTCATGGTACGTTTATTACTTGAACAGTCTCCTCTTGAGTCAGAGCATGTTGACTTTGAGCCCGACAACACTGATTCCCGACATAAATGTCAGTAGTCACCTGGCAACCAATTTAATGTGCCCCCAAAGAATTCTGTGGTATTTATAAATTTACCGCAGGGTAAAAAGTTAGCTATTTCCCAACGTTTCCTTCTTGCTTTTTATTTCATTTTTAAACATTTATTTTGGATGCACATTCAGAGGTCAGAGGGCAACTCGTAGGACTCGGTTTCCTCTTCCTACCATGTGGGTTCCAGGGCTAATACTCAGGTCAAGAGACTTGACAGCAAGCACCTTTGCCTTCTCAGCCTTCTGGCCAGCCCCCAGATTTTCCTTTGAACTGGGCCTCTTATCCTAGGGAGAGGCTCTCTCCCTCCAACATTTAGTGGGTAAAGTATAATGAGGTGGAATTACGAGCTGACTTCTTGAAAGCCAGGAGCCTTCGTCCCAATGATTATTTAAGATGTAAACCATATGGCATAGAACAGACCCTTTCTCAGTGACCCATCCAGTTCGATCAAGGATGGCATCTAAGCCCCAATGCCTGGATAAAACCTCTAAGATTTAGCGCCACGCTCACACCTGACACCGGATCTCCACCCTATCCCAAGGCACTGCTAGGACCACTCACAGTTTCTCATAATGACTGTTTAACAGGCCATGCCAAGGAACACTTCGGTATGGTTGCCACTTCAGAGCAGGAGAGCACTGGTCCATGGGTATTCCATTATGTCCCTCCCTGTCATGGTCCTGCACATCGGTGCCGTGGGTCCTGCTTCTCACTGCAACGACAAACAAACAAGTGAGTTTGAGTAGTCCCACGCGGCTGCTCCTCTAAGACTCACAGGCGGCTGTGTGGAGCGAGGGAGCAGGCTGTTTGCGAAGCAGAATGACTATGGGAGTGTGCAAGGAGACGAGAGGTGTGCCGCATAAATAGTCGCAAGTGATGAGACGAAGTGACTGTCAGCTGCTCAGCTGTAAATGAGACTCACCTGCCCCAAGGCTCAGAGACCACTACAGAAGAGGGGGAAGAGAAAAGAACATAAAGTCCAGAGGACGGGGTAGAATATTGTAGAACCCCTGTGTCCTAGGCATAGCGTGGCCATTGCTCTCTTGAGCTTATAGCAACTGGGATTAGCTAAACAAGACCAGGGCCATCAGTCTCGTGTTATGGAGTGGGATGCAGCTCACAAAAACATACAGGCAATTGGTGGTTGATAGGAGAGGGTGAGACATTTTCTTCGGTGTTGTAGCTATTGGTAAGACATCCGTGTTTTATAAGCAACGCTAATAAAAACCATTGGGTCACAAGTAGAAAGAGGACTTGCTGCTAAGAAGAAGGGGTCAGCAGGTTGTGGGGCAGAGTGCCTGACATCAGAAATAAGGCAGATAGCAGGCCTTGATAAGATCAGGCATGGGCTGTCAGCAGGGACACAGGAGCAGAACATTAGCGTCTATAGAATGTGCCACCAGCCTGTAGCTGGGGGAAGGTAAGAGAAAGGGTCTGTGCTTTTCCTTTTACTCGTCCAGTTTTCATTTCCTTATAAAACAGGGTTGCCGTCTCAAGACAAAAACAAAAACAAAACAATGGATCCAAGCATTGACCTTGGGCTTGTGCCTGGAATTTCAGCTTGCGCCTGTAGTCTCCAGGCGGTGGTTTGGCAACTCCCTGGGAAGCTAGAACTAACCCACGCAAGCATGGCCACTGGGACTCCTTTACTATTTTTATGGGGGAGGAAAGGAAAGGGAAAGGAAGGATAGGGAAGGAAAAGCCTTTATCTTTAATGATAACGCCAATATCAATGCACACACACCCCTTCTGATAACCGCCACTGCCTTGCAGTCTGAAAGCACAGAGGAATTTATAGAGAAAGGAGAAGACGCCTGGGGGTGTTGCCCAGTGGTAGAGTGCTTACATGAGCTAGGTGCAGGGTTCCATCCCCAGAACCAGCCTCAGAAAGAAGGAAGTGAAGCAGGGAAAGAGGGAGAGGGGGAGAGAGAGGAGGGGAGAGGGAGAGAGAGAATATAATATAGTAATACCAGTGCTGGCATGTTTTGCCCACCACTGTGTTTATGCGATCTGTCTACTATTGCTGAAAATGGCATTCATTTGTTTGCATTGCCATAACACACTCCATTGCATAACCTGCCATTGACCCATCTGAATTATGGGTAACGGAACAAGGGACATTCTGAGTTGCATGTTTTCTTGGTGTGTGTATTTACATTTCTGTCAGGTATATGCCTAGGTGTTGTATCAGGGGCTAATGAGATATGTTTGAGGATATGCCACTAACTGCTTCTGTAGTGGTTATGAGACAAGGATCCTAAATTTCATTCACAAGGATTGACCCTGGGGTTCGAGGACCGGGAATGATTTGCTAGTGTCACAGCTGTTACGAGGAAGACCTGCGTGTAAGCCTCCTTCTTCCCTTCAGGTCACCTGGGCATCTCTAGAGAACATAAATACACTGATGGCAGTCGAGTACCCAGATTCCACTGGAAAAGCTGTGGCTTGTGTCTGTGTGCCCTTCAAAATACCCTATACACCTCACTTTAAAAGACTCTCAGAGAGCCGGGTGGGGGTGGTGCACACCTTTAATCCCAGCACTCGAGAGGCAGAGGCAGGTGGATCGCTGTGAGTTTGAGGCCAGCCTGGTCTACAAGAACTAGTTCCAGGACAGGCCAAAGCTACATAGAAACCCTGTCTTGCAAAAAAATAAAAATAAAAAAAATAAAAAGAGGTGAGTGAAGGAAATATTAGGATATTTGTTTGATAACTGATGAAAGTCATGCTTTGAGAGTCCCCAGTTGCTAAAGAGATGAAACAGATACTTTTGGTCCTATATGGCATGTTTACCTATTGTATCCCTCACTGCAATCCTCTCTTTAGGGCTGAAGAACTCTTTTAGGTTTGATGTTCAAAATACAGAAGAGCCAGGACTGCAGGGATGGCTCAGTGGTGTAAGAGCACTTGCTGCTCCTGAAAAGGACCTGAGCTTAGTTCCCAGCACCCTCAAGGTGGCTTAAAGCCATCTGTAATTCCAAACAACGAAGCCACATACGCATGTTCCCATGCCAAAGCTGCAGCCAGTTGTCCCTGGAAGGGTCCTCAGCCACCACAGGGTTACTTGAGTCAAAAGCAGCAACCCCAGCTGGTAGGAAACAAGTACCTCTTTTCGAAGCATCTGAGGGTTTAGGGACAGGAACAGGGACAGGGGGATAGAGGAAATCCTGGGTTTCTCCTGGAGACAGAGCATGGTATTTATACACTGAATTTGGGCCACCGTTCACACTGCATGCATCTGAATGTTTACAGTCACAAGGAGAATTGGCCTAGAGTATTATCCCTTTGCCGGAAAATTCTAACGTTTCCCTTCGGATCCCAAAAGACCAAGCTAGTCCCGAGTCTATCATTTTAAGCTCAAAACAAATGAGCTACTTGTTATATAAGATAAATAACTAACTAGTTATATGAGATAAATAACTAGTTATAACATGATAAGATAAACAACTAGTTATATATGATAAACAAGTAGTTATGTAAGATAAATAACTAGCTATATAAGATAAATTAGTTATAAAAGATAAATAACTAGTTATATAAGATAAATAATACGCATTTTAGGCATCGGGTGTTTTTTTGGTTTTTTGTTTTTTTCCCAAGGGTATGTGTGGTGTGCATGTGTATATACATATCCACATCTGTGCAGATGCATGTGTTGTATGTATACATGTGGAGGCCTGAGGTTGGTCTGAGGGGTTTTCCAACTCACTCGCTGAGGTGGGGTCTCTGAGTTGCACCCAGAGTTTGACCATATGGATGTTCTGACTGGCCAGCTTACTCCTTGGATCAACTGATCAACTGTTTTCACGTTTAGAGTGCTGGAATTACAGGCTGGCTGCTACAGCCTTCTGGCATTTCTGTGCATTCTGGGAATCTGAACTCAGGTCCTCAGACTTACAGCGTGAATACCAAGTGCTTTGACCACAGGGAAATCTCCTCGGTCTGACATCAGATGTTTTTAATGAAATAGTTACGAAATCATCTTACAAACTAGTAAGGATCCAATTTGATGAGAGTGATGAAGAAATTCAACTTCTTCCCACCGCACCCCAACAGCCCTACAAGAGCCTCCATCTTCCTCCCACCTAAAACACAGGCCGGCTTAGATGCCAGCTCAGATTCACGGAGCTGAACCCGCATTTTACCAAGATCCTGAGTTAGCCTGTGCACAACAAAGCTACAAAGAACTGGGGGCAACTAGGAAACGGGCAGCCAATAGGTTCTTGAAAGCTCTGTGCGTTCCAGCTCCCCAGGCTTGGAGCCTGCATCCTCTGAGATGCAACGCTCCTGAAATAGAAAGACTAGCTTTTTACCTGCACGGGAGAGACAGAGCAGCGAGCGACTGTCCCTCGGGGCACCTGTGTGACTGACCTGCATAAAGGAGACACCAAGAGGGTGGACTACAGCTCCAGAGCCTTTGTTCCTCCTCGACGGGAGGGAACAGAGCTGTGTAGGCTGCTGAGGGGCAGGTCAAAAGCTTTGACACAGCAGCCAAGGCTTTCACGCCTCGACTTCCTCACAAAGTCGCTCTTGCTCACTTGGACTGAAGTGGTGGGCCCACACGCGGCAGTCCCCGGGGTCCTCTAGTATCTGCGCATGCTTTCTCTTCTTTGTCGGAGGCAATGAGGTTCTAAAGGCAAGAGACCAAAAGGTTGATTAGCACCTTTGCTTGTTGCATGAAAACAAGCCGAATTTCCCTGGTCTTTTCTCTCTGGTTTCCTTAGTCTAATCCCAATTCTTTAAGGTTTCTTGGACCCTGCTATTCTGAACAGTAATCTTTCTATGTTCGACCAAGCGAAGATCCACCCGCCTGAAAGATAAACCGGCAATAGTTTCAAAGCAGAGAGGACTCAGCCTGAATATTCAGGAGTACACGCTACATCTGAGAATTCTCTTCTCGTGGAACCTTGCCACGGTCACCAGTGGCCCTGGTTTTTCAGAGATGGAGTAGAAGGCCAGAAAAGAGGAGCCAAGAAAACTTGATTGAGAGCTAACTCATTCTCAAACTGCCTCGAGCCCCTTTATTAGAGGCAGCATAAGGAAGCAGTTCCTCGTCTCGCCACCTGGAGTTGTTCTGCACATTCTGGACATGTTAACTTTTTGTTGGAGGAGGACGTTTAGTTGCCGGGATTTCTAAAGAAGACTAAGCCGAGAACATTAGGGCCTCAAGGTGCCCCGTGTGCGTCTCCACACTGCCACCTGCTGGACAGGCTGCTGCGGTCCCTCCTGGACCCTCCAGCTGTGGATGCTGAGGTGGTTCAAGATTAAATATCTTATCCTTTACCCAGGAACGTGGCACAAAGGCTGCTGATGGTAAGGGCAACTCATGCCCAGATGGGAAGGCCCGGTTTGGTGGCAAGAAGTATCGGGGTGCCTGGAGTCCAGGTAGCCGTTGTGAAAGCCGCTGTGGGTTTGGCTGGACATGGTCTGTGGTGCGTGCTCAGGCAGCAGCCCGGGTGCCGTGGTGGAGTGGAGGAAGGTGGCGGGGATCCTCCCTGCTGTAGGTCTCGGGGTCCCACAGCATGCGCCTGCGGGAAAGACAGGAGCGACAGGTGCCTCTCATTTGCACCATCCAGGCTTGAGTCAGCCGTGCAAGGTGGTATATGGATGGACTCACCTTCGACCTGTGGAGGAGAGCAAGGGTCCGAGGCAGAGTAGGGCGGGGTGTCAGGGAGCTGCCGTTGCCTGGGGAATAGAAATACTACATTTTGTTTTGCTCCGTTTCGTCCTGTTTCATCAAGAGAGGCAACCCTCTGTGCAGAGCCCAGGGCAAGAACCAGAGCTCCTCCAACTGCGCCCAGTGGGACTGGCTGCGCTTTGAGTCCCCGCTCATCTCTTCAGTTCTCCAGCCCCTACCCACCCCGCCCCTACAAAATGGCAATCATTACCACACACTCTTCGCAGTATTGTGAGACCTGGGGACATGTCCACCACGCCTGTCCTGTAACGCTCCGAACTTAGTGTTCAACAGAGTGTAAAATGTTGCTACTGAAGCAAGCAGTGGTCTTCCGTCCATGTAAGAGTAAGGCATCCCACACTCTTGGAAGATACGCAAGGGGTCCACAAAAGGAACAAGATTCTAGTATAGCTGTGCGATGGTGGCACACACCTTTAATCCCAGCACTCAGGAGGCAGAGGCAGGCGGATCTCTGTGAGTTCGAGACCAGCCTGGTCTACAGAGGGAGTTCCAGGACAGGCTCCAAAGCTACACAGAGAAACCCTGTCTTGGGGGGGAAAAGATTCTAGTATAATGCAAAGATGAGAAAGAGGAGGAGGAGGAGGAGGAGGAGGAGGAGGAGAAGGAGGAGGAGGAGGAGGAGGAGGGAGGAGGGAGGAAAAGCAGAGAGGAGAAATGGAGAAGCAGTGGGGTTGGGACATAAAGACACATATGTGTGAAAATGGCATGACGATGCCATTGCTTTGTGAGCTCCTCTTAAAAGGCAATTTTTAAACATAAAAGTTTTTTCAATTTTTTTAATGCTCAGATTGGCTCTTTAAACTTTATTCTCCCTTTATTAATAAGGAAGAGAGTATTTATCTTTATCGCTGTAAAGGAATATAGAGGCATAAATACTAAAAGGTTTAGAGCACCTGGACATAGGCCACAACAGACTTTCAGTAACGCAGGGGCAGATGAGGTAAGATGGTGGGATCTAATTAACAGAGACTGTCTGGATTTGGGGGGGGGGTGCATTGTGGGAGCCCATGTGTGACTCGGTTCCCATCTGGAGTCATTTCTGACTTAAAGGAGTCATTTGAGTTTCAAGCTTGCCCGCTCTGCTTTTTGCTATAACCTTGAGGGCTGTGAGAGACTTCTGATTTAGCCCATGAGAAAAGAACATTCTATCTAGTAGAACGTATACTGCTGACGACAAACCTCAGGAACATCAAGATAGAAAGTGAGGCTGCCCCGGAGCAGCAAGCACCCGCTGGGTAGGAGGCTGCTCATTCAAGGACAGGGATGGTCTTGTGCTTAGACACTGACTGACCTTCTGTGCTGTGCTTTGTTCTGCTGTTATATATAAGCAAGCTCTGAAATAAACGCGGGGCTGTTTGGCTGCTTCGGCATGACCAGACAGACCGCCCCATTCTATCCTGTCTTCTGTTCTTTCATCTTGCTTTTCTTTGGCCTCGAGCATCCCCTGTCCAGGAACCCTAGCTGACTTTGTAGGAGCGAGCTCCGACAGTGCATCAGGACACAACATGGAGAAGTCTTGTCAAAGCTCCAAAACAAAGCTCGGGACACTACAGTCACCTGAAGCTTCAAATCCTGAAGTATGGAGCTGGAAATAGAATTGGATAGAGGTGTAAGAAACAACTGGACTCTTAGGCCAGCATCCCCCCGCCCCCAATCAACATCCAGAGTTGTAAGAGGTTGTTTTCTGAGGAAACGGAGCCAGGGAGGTTGCAGTACAGGGTGGCCAGCACAATCAAGTCTGTTGGGACAACATGGAAGGCTGCATTGCAGACTGAATACCGAGGCTGAGACACACCTCGGTGTGGAGAGCTTGCTGAGCATGTGTTAGGCACTGTGTTCTAAGCCCTCCAAAAGAAAAGGAAACACAAACATTGAACTGTAAGAGCCTTGCTCAGCCCTGCTTTACACCCATCTAAGCAAGTTTAACACAAGGAAGAAACCGGAATAGTTCTCCCAAAGAACACAGAATGTGATGGCGGATACAGAGGGGGCACAATCTTTCAATAATTTGTGATAAAAAATGTATTTACATGTATGTATGTATGAGTGCATGTTTGGGTGAGTATATGTATGTATATGTGTATATATGTATGTATATATGTATGAGTGCATTGTGAGTGTATGCTTGTGTGTATGTATGTATATATGCATGTGTATGTATATATGAGTGCATTGTGAGTGTATGTATGTATATATGTATATTTGAATGCATGTATGTGTGCGTGTATATATATGAGTGTGTATATGTATGCGTGAGTGTGGGTGTGTGTTTATGTATTTGTCAGTGTGCGTGGGGGGGGGGGGTAGGCCTGAAGAAGATGTCAGATTCCTTGGAGCTAGTTACAGGTAGTTGTAAGCTGCCAGATATAGATGCTGGGAATCGAACTTGCACCCTCAGAAGGCCACTGAGCCATCTTCCCTGTTCCCTCCCCCATTTTAGTAATTTTAATTAGAAATCAATAGCCCTCCCTATCTGATCCCTCTGCATCACATTCTTTGAACGTGATGACCTGTACACACTGCTAGAAAGCTTGTGACATTATAGCCAGAGCAGACCCTGATATATATAAGGACTGCGGGAGTCACCAACAGCTGTCCTGCCTCTGAAACGAATGGTAAGCTCCTGCCAGATCTGGTCCTCCAGCAGGTGGAAACTTGAAGTTACGGAAGGGCATCACTACCGAAAGACACCAGAAAGTGGACAAAGACAACAGGACTCTCGAGAGCCAATGAGATTCCGAGGAAGGTAATGGCAGGCAGTGATGGTCCATTTATAGCTCTTAACTGACCTAAGTTGAATCGTGAAGCATCTAAAACGCCAACACAAATTCAGTTTTCTAGGCCTGAAGAACCAGAAAAGAGAGTTTGGAACAAGCAAGGAATGGGGGATCTTGGAGAAGAGAGGGGGTACCCAGAGTCAGTGTATAACTGCCCACGCCTCTTGCTGATTCTGTGCTGTTCCTTCGTGTGGTGGGGAACTGAAATGTGGACCAGTTCTCAAGAGAGTGTCTGCAGTTGGTGTTCAAGCAGAATAACTGCCTGTCAAAACAAAAGTTATCCACTGTTCTGAGAAATGCATGTGGCCCTACATACACCCAGCAACTGCATGCGTAGTGCATATGTGGTGGTGGTTTCAACAGATTTGAACTTTCCCATGTCTTCCTCACAGTTTACCGCCCTCCCAAATTCAACACAGTCACACCTTTATCTTACTACATAGTACGTCAGCCCACGCTCAGTGCATTGTACGTGTTTTGGACAATTATTATTCAACTTAAAACATTCATTTTTTAATTTTCTAACCAGACTCCTTGGGGAAAATGAGAAAAGAAAGCATTGATATGAGAAACAACCATATCACTAAACCCTCTGGGGGAATAGAGGTTATGATGAGAAATACCTCCAACACCGTGCAGCCATAAATTTGATGACTTGAATGAAATGAACCAACTCCTTAGGGAGGCGGTTAAAAAAAAACTGCCAAAACTCACAAAGAAAAAGCTCCTGGGCACTGTTGGTGCTGTCTGTGTTGTTGCCGTCCTTGTTTGAAATGAGTGGATTGCTCAGGCTGGTCTCTAATTTGTGAAACTCCTGGCTCAACTTTCTGAGTAGTAAGGATTCCAGGTGTGTGTCATTGTGCCTAGCTAGAAATGATGCTGATAATCCTGAGTCTACACACACTTCCACTCAGAGAGTGACGCTGATAGTCCCGGGTCTGTTCACACTCTTCCATCCACGTAACTTAAGGAGGAAAACTTTCTGATTGCTCGGAAGAAGCTATAATTATTCCAATTGCCAAGCCATACAATTCAGTGTAAGCAAGGAAAACTAAGGATTCGTGTTCTGATGAACATAGGTTTAAGTGCTCAACAAGCCAGGTGTGTGCACTCAGGAGACAGAAGCAGGCAGATCTCTGCGAGTTCATGGCCAGACTGACATAAAATATTCACAAATTAGAGCTAACAAGATTTTTAAAGTACAGAATATTTTTCAAGTTTTCTAAACCAAAAGAAAGAATCCCTAATTTTTAAGAATAGATGTAAGATTTGGAACATAATTTATCAAGGAAAACATAAGAATAAATGGCAAAGAAACATACAAACTGATGCCTAATATCATAAAGCATAACAACATAAAACACAATGAATAGCTACAAACTTGTTAAAAATTGATAATTCAGACAAGGAGAGTGAAGCAACCGGATAACTAATAGATGATAACAGTAATATAATATGGTTGCCATAGAGTATTTGGCAATTTTTACAGTTGACTTTGCATTTACGACAACACAAGAAAGCTGTATTTATGTTACTTATTTTACTCTAAAGATGTTTAGACTGTTGCTCAGTGGGCAAGAGTGCTTTTTTCACAAACATGAAGACCCGAGTTTGGATCCCCAGAACCCATGCAAAAAGTGAGGTGTGACCTTGCACACACCTGTAACCCAAGCACCACGTGAGGCTGAGACAGGAGACTGGCTGGTGCTTGCTGGAAGCCAGGCTAGCTCTAGGTTCAGTAAGAAGCCATGTCTCAAATGAATAAGGCTGAGGGTGACCGAGCAGGACATTGTGCACACACACAAAAATAAGGAAATCAAAATCATACATGAAAATGTATATAAGATAATGTTCGTGATATCAGGAAGCGTAACTAATCCAAACGTCATTGAGGTTAGGAGTGGCTAAGCAATGGTACAAGCATTTAGTGCGGTCTTTCTCAGAAATAAAAGGAATGAACTGATGTGCAAAGGCATTTAACTGGAAGACAGCAGACTCGGAAAGTATCACATGGCTTCACCTATTTGACATTCTGGAAAAACTGGAATCATAGAGACAGAAAAAAAATCAGTGGTTACCAGGGGCTAGAGGAACTGTTCTATATTATAAATATAGTAGTAGTCTGTGAGATTATCAAAACTAAGAGCTAAATCCAAAGAGTGTTGCGTTTGAAGTCTGAAGAGATGGCTCAGGGGTAAACAGCACTGACTACTCCTCCAGAGTTGAGTTCGCATCACCCACCTTGGGTGGTTTACAACCCCACATCCCACCCAGGGGATCCAATGCCTTCTCTGACCTCTGTGATCACCAGCACACACATGGTATATACTCACCCAAACACACACACACACACATACACATAACTTGAGTATCTTCTTATCTACTAAGCAAGAATAACCTCCACAAAGAAAAACACCAAACCTAGATGGCTTTGCTGGTAAAATCTGCCCAAGTTCCACAGAAGAAATAAGATTAATTCTACTCCAGATCGTATAACAATCACAAGCAAAATCAACATTCTCCAGATCATTCAACTATGTCACAATTTCAAAAGCACCAAGTGGGGAGTGGTGCCTCCATTACTTACAAGGCTCCTAAATCAAAGTCATTGCCCAAGAATTCTTCCAGCAGACTCGTATCCAGGGCCGGGTTCTCCAGAGTACCGCTGGCTCCCTGAGCTGCAAAGGGAAATGGAAAATCGTGAGACCCATGACTGTTTCATGACTGCTAACACCTTGACAGGCAGATACCCAGGCTTACAAGACAAACAAACAACACAGTGCATTTCCTGGGAATGTAGTCTTTATTCCATTTAAATGCTTCCTTCAGAAATCTCTTCAGATCATCCTTTCCAGGAAGACTAAGGCTGGGGTAGTGTTCTTTTAGTAGCTCCTGCGACACTGACCACCTGCTTTGTGCACCTGAATAAACCTCTCTTCCTCCCCTCCCCCATTTCTTTCCCCTCCCCCTCCCTCTGCTTCACCTTCCCTATACCCCCTCCTTTAAGGAGACATCTTTGTCTTTCTTATTTTAGCCACGAGGATCCAAGGCATAAAGGAAGTAAGCAACAATCATTTGTTGGATAGATAAGCAAATAACGAATGAATACATTAATGGATGGATGGATGGATGGATGGATGGATGGATACATACGTACATGAATGAATGAAACCTATTATGTAATATGCTAAAATAAGAAACAAATTAAAAAGTGTTCTTAAATATATGCTTGGTGTTTTAGGCTTTTTGTTATTTGTTGGGGAAGTTCACAGAAACTCGCAGAGTCTGAACCGACAACCACGGAGACTGACTGAGACTGAGCTAGTCATTCTGCATATATGTTATAGAGTTGTATGGCTTGGTCCTCTTGTAGGACTCCTAACAGTGGGACAGGGGCTGTCTCTGGCTCTTTCACTGACTTTTGAGACCCTAGTCCTGATATAGGGTTGCCTTGCCCAGCCTTAATACATGGGGAGGTGCTGAGTCTTCCTGCAATTTGATAAGCCATGTTTTGTTGATACTCATAGGAGACCTACCCTTTCCTAAACAGAAACAGGAGTGGATTAGGGGGGTGGGAACAGAGGGAGGTTGGGAGAAGGGCTGGGAGGAGAGAGGGGAAACTCAGATGAGATGATAATAAATAAATAAATAAATAAATAAATAAATAAATAAATTTATTAGAAAAAATTTTCTTCCTAGCTGGATGTAGTGGTGCACTCCAAAGGCAGAGGCAGGAGGATCTCTGTGAGTTCAAGGCCAACCTGGTCTATACAGTGAGCACTGGGACAGTCAGAACTACATAGGGAGACCCTGTCTGAAACAAACAACTAAAATATCTATTCTTTAGAGGAACAAATATACAAAACGATGCAGAAAAAAAAGTAAGAGCTATATACGTGGACACCTTGAAGAGACATAAGCCACGTGAGATAAAGCAATAGTATTAAATACGTGGAGTTTTACCGCACGGCAAACTATATACTTTGACATTAGTTATTCAGTGAACACTAGGAAGAGAAGACGAAGGCTGGGCATCTGGGGAAACAATCTCAGTCTCTGCCTTACTTCAACATCAAATTCCAGATCGATCAACCATGGCCACATGAGAATAAAATCAGGGAAAACATGTGACATGATCATGAACATGTGAGTATAGTTCTTATGATCCTGAGGCAGACCAGGCTTTTTAACCACGTCATGAAAACCAGAACAATAAAGAAATACAAGAGTGAACTTTTCTTTATAAAAGTAATAAAAATTATCATTTTGTGTAATGAACATATACTGATAATTTTTTTTTTGGGATTTTTCGAGATGGGGTTTCTCCGTAGCTTTTTGTTCCTGTCCTGGAACTAGCTCTTGTAGACCAGGCTGGCCTTGAACTCACAGAGATCTGCCTGCCTCTGCCTCCCCGAGTGCTGGGATTAAAGGAGTGCGCCACCACCGCCCGGCTTACTGATAATTTTTTTAAAAACATCATTTTATGTAGTTTTGAGGAGGAAAGAATTTTTAACATTTTAAAAAATAATTTAAAACCTATGGAGAAGTAAGAAAGCCAAGGAACTCAGAAATACACTTCGCCCAAATTCGTGGATATTAACATTATACTACTGCCTTAGTTTCTCTNGAACCCACGCAGATGTGAAAGGAGAAAATTGGCTCTGCTAAGTTGTCCTCTGACCTCACAAGCTCACCAATGCATATCATACACACACATATAAAGACATTTGTCTTTATAAACTAAAGCAAACAAAATTATACACATCTTCCTATTAAGCATCCCTTAAGCATGCAGCCTTGTTCCGGGTATTTCAGTGAACACTGCTAAGTGTAAAAACATTATTTTCACAACTACAATTCATTGATGAGAATCTGGAAGTTTAATACTGATACAAGTTTTTAATATAGCTTCCGTTCCTATTCAGATTTTACCTATTATCCCTATATGTTATCTATGGTAATTTTTTCTCTTGCCCAACATCCAGTCCAGGACTGTCAGAACTTTTGATATTTGTGTTTTTGAAAGGACTGGCTAGTTGCTTTGTGAATTGACTAAGGGGAAGTAGTATAAGCAATAGAAGCCGGAAGTTTGGACCATGAGATGACATGTCACAATGCTAATCGTCATTCATGTCTCAGAGCCCATCTCTCTATTTTTACTAGTCAGACTTTTGTTGCTCTAGCTAACGACCTGGGACAAGCTAACTTTGTAAAGAGACGTGGTTTCTTTGTTCATAGTTTTAGACTTGCAGTGGCTTGGCACTGGTGCCAGCGCGGTTCTGTGACGGCTTTCTTGGGGACAGAGTACCAAGCAGCGCTTTCTACCAAGGGATATGAGAAGGGCCACACACATCCAAGTCTGTACGTCCAGTTTCTGTTCCTTTTCTTACCAAGTCACAAGAGACCAATCATGAGGCCCCACCCTAATGGTTTTATCTAGCCTTTCACTTTCCAGGGGCCCCATCTTGAAGTACCATAGATGGATTAAGTCTCCAGCTTTGCAATTCTATTAGCACGTAAATTTGGAAAAACAAACCACAGCACTACTTAAATCTGAGCCAGTTAGAAAAAAATTAGTTTGGGTTGGAGAAATGGCTCAGAGATTAAGCACACTGGTTGATCTTCCAGAGGCCCTGAGTTCAATTCCCAGCAACCACATGGTGGCTCACAACCACCTATAATAAGATTTGGTGCCTTCTTCTGCATGTAGGCATACATGCCAGAACACTGTATACAGAATAAATGAATAAATCTTTTTTTAAAAAAGGAGAAAGCACAAAATCAGTTCAATGTATTAGTGACTTTTTTACCGCCATTTCTTGGCCTTAAAAGAGTTCTTTAAAACTGGTATTTCTAACAGCATAGAAAAATATTTGAAATTCTACAGTCCCTCCAGTTGCCATCAAGTTACTTTTTTGTATTAAGTTCAAGTAAAATTAATATATGTAATATTTATTAGCCAAATATTGTGCTGAACAGCTGTAAGCCCCAAAGCATAGGATGCAGAGGCCAGCCTGGGCTACAAAGTGAAATGCACCTTTTGAAAAAATATTGATTTTATTAAAATTGTATTCTATCTGTTCATTTCTCCTTCTCTCTATAGATATTCAGGGAGATAAAAATATGTATCACTATCAACATTGTCTTAATTATAGAATTTAAGATAATGTTTCATTATTCAGAAACAGCTATTTTATACTTTGGAACAATTTGTTGTACAACTCTGCATACAATGTTATTTTGAAGCCTATTTTAAAGCCAAGTTGCCAGAATTATTAAAGAGAAAGTCGAAGTCTAAAATTGCTTGCAGCCTTGGAATAAACAGAACTTCCATGCATTTTTGTTTCTAGTCTGGGTATAAAGGGGTATAAAGCGAAGTGGTGGTCAAGCACGGCGGGCCACACCTTTAAAACTAGTACCCCGGGGGGCAAAGGAGGGCGGACCTCTCTGTGTCTGCGGGTGAGACTTGCCTCAAAACAACACATAAATAAACTAACAAACACATACGTAAATAAATGGAGAGGTGACTCTGAGTTTAAGAGCGCTGGGTGCTCTTATGGGGGATGCAAGCGCAGTTCCCAGTAATCAATCATACGGGTGGGTGGGTGGCCCACAGCTGCCTGCAGCTACAGCTGTAGGGGATGCAGCGCCCTCTTCAGGTCTCTTTGGGCACCTACAAAAAGGCGGCACACACACACACAAACACACACACACTGAAATAAAAACAATTAGTAACATATAAATGATAAATAAAACAGCATCACAGACCACGCATTCAAAGTGTGAACATGATAACTGCTCCACCAACTTCACAGTTCTGAATATAAAGCTTGATGATTTAAATGAGACTGTCCCCTACGCTACGGGCTCGGATGTTTGAACGTTTGGTCCCCTGTTGTGGCGCTGTTTGGGGCGGTCCAGGAAATGTGACCTTATTGTAGGAAGAGCGCCACTGAAACTGGGCTTGGCGGTCTGAATGCCTCGCCTGGGTTCCGGTTTGCTCTCTTAGCTTCCCGCTCAGGTGGTAAATTGTGAGCGCTCAGCTTGATGCTCCAGCTGCCTTGCCTGCTTCCTCCCCTCACTCCTCCATCATCACCTCTAACCTTCTGAAATCGTAAGCCCAAAGAAACTTCCTTGTCTAAGTTGCCTCGGTTATGTGGGTTTGGTTTTTTGTTTGTTTTTGGTTTGGGGTTTTTGATGAATTTTTGTTTATTTTTTAATCACAACACTATAAGTGGCATACACTCACAATACACACACAGGAATATAAGTAAACTAATTAATAAAATGCCATCACAGATCACGCATTTAAAACATGAGCAACATGGAAATTCCTCCACCGATTTCACAATCTGGAGCACAGAGAGGAGAGGAAAAGGCTCAGCTATTTTGTACAAAGCCACAATTGAGGAAATGGAATGAACAACGAAAACTCATAGCAGTGGTGGATATCATATCCAAGCCCTAAGGAAAATGTTGTCAAGTGGACTTTAATATTCGGAGGCTTTATCATTAACATATACAAAAATGATTATTTACTAAGTTTAGTAAAAGGAAAAATGTGTTTTGACTTTTTTGATCCATGCCAAAAAGAATTGAACAATCAATGTCGATTCTAGTGAATACTTTCCATGTATTCATATACATAGGTACATTCAAGACGGAGCCAGCGGCGCAG